ACCAAGCTCTATTGGTTCCTCCCCCTGCCGCATTAGAGGCGAAGGATGCGCCTGGCCGAACTCCCTGGGGATAAAAGGAGGTGCCCTCGCTGGCGCACGCACCTGGCGACCTTCCTCATTGTGCCAAGGACGTTCTTCGTGTCGTATTCCAATCGCAAGAGCCCTCTGTACTACGTCTGCTAGGGTTTGAGGTCTGTCACCCCTGGCCAATTCATCTTTTATGGAGCTGTGGAGTCCCTCCCAGAACAAATCTCTCACTGGTTTGGAGTCTTTCTCCCAGCCCAATACATTCAGCAATGCAAAAAAGCGCGAATGGTACTGACGCACAGTGGCTTTGCCTTGTCTGAGTCCGTGCATCTGTTGGCGCGCAACATCAACATCCACGGTGGACTGGAAACAAGCGTCCATCGCTTTAATAAATTCATCAGAATCGCGGCGGGCAGGACCATCTTCACGCCACAAATTGCGCAGCCACGCTCTGGCGTCTCCATGCAAATGAGACACAATAAAACCCACCTTCTCCTCCTCATCTTTAAAGTCATTGCGAAGCAAATGCAGTGCATACAGGACGTCTGCTCTGAAACTGGGGTAGTGCTTCAGGTTCCCATCGAAGGGGGCTACTAAATTTCCTCCCCGCCTTCCGAGTCCGATTCCCTCTGATCTGGACCCCGGGAACCCCTCTTTGCACGCACGTTCCCACCTGGTTTGCAGATCGTGGCATCGCGCCTCCGCGTCTTCACTCTTCTTCTGGGAGACCACTACCGCAGTGGAAAGCTCGGAGACTGCGTTTCGTAGTGCTGTCAACTGTTCTTCCGCACTCATGGTTGCCACACTTCGTGAGCTTTGCAAAAAAAAAATTTTTTGCGTTCTTTTCGAGAGGGGACTTACTGTCAGGGCCGCCTCAGGTCCCAGCTCACAAGAGACCAACGCCAAGTCCACTTTATTTACAAAAGTCTTTATTGAAGTACATTGTTTGTTCCACAGCCGAGGCGCGCAGCCCCACGTCTGTTACGCTTAGACCGCTGAAGTCCCCTCTGAATCAGTCCCGCCTCTACACCAGTTTAAGAGGCTTGTGCTAGTCCACCTCTTCCTGTCCTTCCTTTTCCGCAGGGTCTTTCTGCCCCCCTGGGTTCCTTCCCTCCTGCTTTCCCCTGACGCTGAGTCCCCAGACGCCTGTTCCCCCCTCCTCTGTGCTTTGGGACCAGGCTCCTCCTCCGGGCTCTCCGCATTTCCGCGCGCCTCCACATTTGAACTTGGCGCGCGTTCGCTACCCCTGACCTTCCTCTTGACAGTTACACTACTCTCTGTACTACTCTCCGCCCCTTCCGGCAGGACGCCTTGCCCCGATCTCCTTCCCCTCTCTGCTTCCTGCTCTGCTCCGTGTGTCACACTGGGAACTCCACCCTCTTCACTCCGTTCCGGCTGGGAAGCCGGCCCCGATCTCCCACTCCCACTCGGGGTTTCCCTGCTGCTCCCCTGCTCCTGACGAGTCCCCCCTGTGGCTCCCCTTGGCCTGACCAGGGGCGCCCCCTTTTGGGAATCCTCCGATTCACTTGACTCATGGAAGCCCTCAAGTCATTGTCATCCTCCTCCTCCTCGTTCCTGGATTCTTCCCCCTCGCTCTCAGTCTCCTCCCTCATCTGTGCCTCTCTCCCTGAACCCCTGACAATACATATTCTCATCCTTTAGTTGGTTATTGCAAGGAGTTGGGCCGCTTCCTTTGGCTTCATTAAGTGAAATTAGTAGGAAGGTCCCACATGGTTTTATGAGCCTCCTTGCCTCTTCGAACAACACTAGTTAACCAAACTGGCAGGGCTCACAATGCTTAGTTGACTGGGTACCCCTTTATATATGCATGCATTGTTGCTGTTGCTTTTTTTTGTTTTTTCTTTTTTCTGGGATAGAGAAGGGAGAAAGAGAGGGGTTGATTTGGATTTGGGTAACTTGTACAGGGGCTATTTAGGAGGCTATTTAGGGTTTTTCCTTTTCCTTGTTGTTTGGCAACTTCCTAACAATTTAACGAGCTTCACCCACTCGGTTCCTTTTTCTATTCCTTTCCTATTTCCTATTTAATAACCTGGGGTCCTTTTCCACTCTGCCGATCCCACCCAATTCCTCATGGGCTATCCCTCCTGGCAACCTCCTACCTATCGTCACAATCTCAGGAAAAGGGGCCCTACTGGACGCCCGTGCCGTGCGGTGCCAGATCGGGTGATCCCTGGATAGAATTTCGAACTGAAAATCCCCCTTGCTTTTGGAAGCGGGCTTACGCACGATACACGTGTTACGTGGCACCGACCAGTGCGACTGGGATTGGGATAGAAAGCAAGACCACTTCCTGCCCCCTCCGTAAGGGCGCTCGGGAAGTTCGGAAGAAGAACTCCAGCCCCTTGCTCTCAACTGAGATGTCCGTTGCGGAGGGTCGGCTGTCTTTCCAAGCCGGGTCTCTCCGTCTTACTTTCGGACTCTCAATTGGTGCGGCTGGCTGGAGGGTTTTTTAAGAGAAAGAGATAGAGCTCAGAACCCCCCTTTCGGGTCAAGCAGTGGTCCACGGTCTCTCTCACTAACCGGACCAAGAGAAAGGTAAGAAGGAGCGATAGAGAGGAGGGCAGAGAATTCAGTTGCCAGGAGATTTCCACCCCCTTTCCACCAGTGCACTGGATTTTTCCTTTTCCTTATACTCACGCGTCTTCTATGATGATCCCGGGATCGATGAATAAGCCGGCTGGATCCCTCTTTGCTCCCCGGCAGAACTCCTGGGGCTTTCGATTACCGCCCGGAAGATGGCCGGGGGTCCAAAGGATCTTCCCAGGCAAAATGGCCCGGTGCCGGCTGAAGATTTCAGGGCCCCCGGTCAGCAACACGGGAGAACCGCAAAATGCCCCACGTGGGGCGCCATCTGTTACGGCTAAAATCTGGGTGCGGGGCTACTCTGCCACCCAGCTCGTCGGACTAAGTAAGTCCGCGGGTCCCTGCGGAAGAAAATGAGCTCAGCCGGACAGGAGCAAACTGCAGAAGATCCAAGTTTATTGCGCAACAGGTTCAAGGCGAGATTGACCAGCGAGAAAGGGGTGACATGAACTTTTGAAACTCCCTCCATGTCCCAGAATACAGTGCAAAATACATCCCAGTTACATCATGAATACATTAAGGAGAGGTTGGGTTACACCGGATTAACATATGGAGGAGGGAGGGGGGAATATGCAGAGCTGGAGATATGCGCAGATAAGCGCTTCCTGAGTGCCGGTGATGGGAAGACAATGGTCCATGTATGCATAGTCTGCCACCTGGCATTGCCCGGAGGAAAGGCTTGGCAGAGCGATTTGACAGGATTAGGGTCTTGACACCTTGCTTGAGGGATTATGGAGGGCAGGGGAGGTGTCCAGGAGTCCTAGAGAAATTGAGCAAATTGGCACGTTGATTTTCTATGGATTTTATAGATTTTAGTCCCCTTTGACATTGACAATTGGGAATAAATGGATATATTGTAGCGAAGAAGAAGGTGAAGAAGACATGCCCCCCCTTCCGTAACAGCAAGTATTACACATCACCCCAGAATTGGCCCTACTGAACATATTCCAAGACAACAATGCCCATTTACACCACAAAGCACTCATAACCCACCTACTTTCAGCAGCCAGAAACACCATAACCAGACACTGGAGAGACCTGTCAGGAGTCAGCATGGACTAACAGCCCGACTAGAAAAATTAACCAATAAACTGAAACTGACACAGGGACAAAGAGAAGACGCCTTTACCCCCGTATGGCTCCCCTTTATCACATCCACAGCCCAAGAAGACAATGACAATAATCCACCAACAGCATACAAATCAATATGGCTAACCTGATCCAAAACACCCACCCACCCCACTCACCCCCGAAAACAAAGATCACCGCAGCCAACCACAAATGAACAGCCACACCCTGGGCAAACCCCAACCTCTCCCACCACCAAAGGAACACAAGTGAACAACAGAGAACCTGCACAAGCAACGCTGACACCAAACCCCACATACAGTGGTGCCTCGCAAGACGAAATTAATTCGTTCCGCGAGTTTTTGTCGTCTTGTGATTTCTTTCGTCTTGCGAAGCACGGTGTCGGGAAAGTTTTGGAAAAGCTTCAAAAATCACCAAAGTCTTCAAAAACCTCAAAAAAGGCTACCACACCGCGTGCTATGAGTTGCTCTTCGAAGTCAAGTCGCAACTGTATTAACGGTGTTAAGAAAAAGGAAACAAACTTGCAAGACGTTTCCGTCTTGCGAAGCAAGCCCATAGGGAAAATCGTCTTGCGAAGCAACTCAAAAAACCAAAAACCCTTCCGTCTAGCGAGTTTTTTGTCTTGCGAGGCATTCGTCTTGCGAGGTATCACTGTACATTAAGCAAAATAGAAACATCGCCACCCGACCCCCCCATCTCCCCCCCCCCAATGTTTCAACAAATGAAACTGATTTGTAAAAATGTTACATGGAAAAAATACGAGAGACATTACACATACTTCTGTAAAACAAGAAAATCTTTCATAATAATAAAAAGACAATAGATGATGACTACATTGGACTGGAACCAGCTGCCCACAGACATGGAGAGGAGGGCAGGAAGCATAGCTTGGGAAACAAAACCTTAACGCCTGCAGGTTGTAATTTGCATCTAATATTTTAATGTTGTTTTGATTAGAAAATTGTCTCAAAGAAACTAGGAAGAGAGCGAGTGGCCTCTAAGGGGTTGCTTTTGCCCCACCCGCCCCCAGTTTCTTTCTTCCAGTAAGTTTTGGCTGTCACTATTTGCCACACGCCAAACTACAGAAACAGTGATAAAGGAGCAAAAAGCCTTCAAGGAGTCCTTTCTCTCCTCCCGTGCGGCACTTGGAGGCTGTTCGGGTCCCGATTCACTGGCCTAGGATCGGGGGGGGGGGGGCAGCCAGGATCCCGGGCCATTTCTCGAGAGAGCTTCGGCTGAGGGCGAGAGGAAGGGGGCAGCGCCGCCAGGGGGCAGCCAAGCCGCGCCGCGCCCCCAGCCCGAGTCTTCTGCGCGCCGCCTGAGGATCTCATGTGGCGGCTCTTCTCCCGGGCGGCGGCCCGGGGCCGGCGAGGAGGCGCCGGCGGGCGCTGGAAGGGGCAGGAGGAGGCGGCGGCGGCGGCGGCGCCTCTTTTCCGGAGAAGCGGCTGCGGCCTGGCGCTCCTCCTGGGCCGGCCGGTGAGTGCTGGGCCTGGGAGGGAAGGGGCGACGCCGGAGCCCCTGGGAGAAGGCCGGGGAGCGGCGTAGGGCCTCCGGCGAGCCCGGCCCGCGGAGCTTCTCCCTCGCCCCCAGAAGGGCCGCCCTGCCCGGGTCGCGCAGCCCAGGAGCCCGCCGCCCGGCCTCCCTCTCGGCCTCGGTCTCTCGTGGCGGGAGGAGCCGCCTGGGCCGCTCCCGGCGGGGCTCGGGAGGCCACCTCTCGCCTTGGGCCCAGAAACGGCGCCGGGGAGGCGGGAAAGGACAGGCCGGCCGCGGGCGGTGTGTTTTGGGGGCGCTTCTCTCGAAGCCGAGATGGGAGGGAGGGAAGAGGGCAGGCAAGGCGGGTCTTCGGAGCTCGTCCTCCGCCTTCAAAATGGAAAAAGACTCGCTAAGATAGCAGCAGGCAGGCCTTGGTTTGCGAGGCCCCTCTGCCCTGCACACTGGAGCTAGATCTTGCTAAACAAAGGGGCGAATACATGGACAAAGCTGGAAATGAACTCTGATAGAAAACCAGCCAGGCTGAAAGAAGTAGGGAGAAGGAATGTGCTTGCTTCTGGAACAGCATGGCCTAAGGACTTGGAATACAAATGATGCTACTCCTGGTCAGAGGACTTGGCATATATATATATATATATATATGTTTACTTATAATAATAAGTAATTATTATGTATTATTAAAGCATTTATAATCCAGCTTTCATCCGAGGTTCCCATGGCAGAAATATACATAATCCTAACCAAAAAATAAAACAGCGTAAAACAAAATGTAGCAGAATCCCTTCAGGGAGGACACAACCCTGAAAGTTGTGCTGCTTGCACTTAGCCTTCTGCTGAAGAACATGATTTTCCACAAAAGTGCTTAAAACTTATTTCTTCACAGGATGTGCAGCCGCATTGTTTATATGGCGTTCTCATAGTCAAAGCCAAGAGTGCTCAACTGCAATGCGTAAGAAGTGCAGGAACTCGAATTGACAAAAGGTAAGTTGTATATAGAATTGGCCACCTGGCAACTCTGGGAACTTCCCAAACAGAGATCAACATTGAGGACAGAAACAGTCACCTCAGAAGAACGAAACCATCAAAACCAAAGCCATGTGCATGGGATCTGCGTTGGGGTGTTAGCTGGTAAAGCTGAATCATTTTAAGTGAATAATAGTGTCATTACATATGCAACAAATTTATCTTAAAATGCCACAGCATCCAGCACTTTCACACGTGACCAGACCTTTGTTTTCTTCTTTTGTAGCCGTTCCTAGGAATGCCTTGTTTACTCTCAGTATGGTGGAGACAGGCTTGTTTAACTAATTCATGTAGCATGAGAATGGAAGAGCTGCAAGCTTTCAGTTCCTCCAGATAACCTTTACTAGAACAGTCGCATCAGCCCACTTCTTAACTTTAGTCAATAAAACATGTAAACACCAAGAGGGAGAAATATCAGTAGCCACTAGCCGTGTAAAGAGAGTAAGCGCTCACTGATTAAGAGGTGAAGAGGATCCATTTCCAAGTTCTCCAACACTCATTGTGTTGCCAACTTATGGGTGGTTCTTGCATTTGGAAAGTGCCACTCCCTATTCCCTACATCCCAAGCATTCCTGATGTGGGAATAGGCAGGTTGTGGTTTTCTTCCACATGATCTTGCTTGTTCACATGTTACCAGAGCAGACTGGGATGGAGCCACAATTTAGACAAAACCACGGGACATGCATATTGTGGAAAGTGGGCTTAAGCCTCAAACAGGTGTCCAGGTAGCCTAACTGCACATCTTTAGGGTGCAAACCACTGGAAAACTACACAAGCTTTACTAAAATGAATGGAAACGTCCATTAGTACTTTTGCTATGAAAATATCGTAAGAATAAAGAGGGGAAGGGTTCTTCAAATTAAGCCAGATGTCATTTAGGGCTGGGCAATATCTGATTTTCAACATCTTGATAGATCACCAGCTAATCATCATGATATGCTGCTATATCTTGATGTCTGAAATAAGGAAGGATGGCTGGGCTATGGAGGGAGGGATGCTTTTTGCTGCGTGATCTCTGTGCTGTTTCTTAAAGCTCTGGGTGGTCCTTACCGGTGATGTCTGCCCCTTGGCACTGTTCTGCCATTGGCTGAGATGAGCCGCAGGGAAGCAACCGGAGAGGAAAAGCAGGGAGTGGGACTCCATGGTTCAGGGGCAGCACCAAGGCTGGCACTGTTCTGTCACTGGAGGGAACGGGGAGGGAAAATGGAGCCCAAAGGCTAGCCAGCCAGAGGGAGCCAGCTATGACGGAACCAGTGTCCAAATGGCAGTGAAGCCTGCTGTCAAGTTTGGTAACAAATTCTCAAGAGAGGGCCAAACATATAGAAAAGAAACAAAAACGGACAAGACAGACAAATCAATGTCTAAATGTATGCAGATGTAATCAATTAATTGACTAACAGTGCAAACCTAACTATCTATTCAAAAGTAAGTCATAATAAATTCAGTGGGCTTACTTCCAGAGAAGTGGGGTCAGAATTGTAGCCTAAAGTTCCTTTATCAGAGGACTGTCTAATGAATGGAAGTTGCAGTGTGTGGTGAATTAAGGTTCAGCCGAATAAAATTTCTGGGCTATACATACCTAATTTTTCTTTTTTATTGCAACTTCAGAAATGGTTCCTACACTAGTATGTGTCGGTAACAAACATCCTCAAGTTACTGTGTTCTTTTTTTGGATTTCTTGTTTTGCACTGATAATATTTTGATTTAATGGTATAAAATTTGAGTAACTCTTTCTTTACCTGACTTTTACAGCTCAATAGATGAAACTATGTATGAAAAACTTGCTGAAGAAACCCTGGAGTCATTAACAGATTTCTTTGAGGAGCTGGCAGACAAGCCCTTTACTCCTCAAGATTATGATGTCTCATTTTCGGTATAGTATTTTATTTTATACTATAGTATTTTATTTTATGAAGAAAGTAGGAAAAACCACTGGGCCGGTAAGATACAATCTAGATCAAATCCCTTATGAATACACAGTGGAAGTGAGGAACAGGTTTAAGGATTTAGATTTGGTGGACAGAGTGCCTGAAGAACTATGGATGGAGGCTCGTAACATTGTACAGGAGGCAGCAACGAAAACCATCCCCATGAAAAGGAAATGCAAGAAAGCAAAGTGGCTGTCCAACGAGGCCTTACAAATAGCGGGGGAGAGAAGGCAAGCAAAATGCAAGGGAGATAGTGAAAGAAACAGGAAATTGAATGTCGATTTCCAAAAAATAGCAAGGAGAGACAAGAAGGCCTTCTTAAACAAGCAATGCAAAGAAATAGAGGAAAACAACAGAATGGGAAGAACCAGAGATCTCTTCAATAAAATTGGAGATATGAAAGGAATATTTTGTACAAAGATTACCATAATAAAGGACAAAAGTGGAAAGGACCTAACAGAAGCAGAAGACATCAAGAAGAGGTGGCAAGAATACACCGAGGAATTATACCAGAAAGATATGGATGGCTCGTACACCCCAGGTAGTGTGGTTGCTGACCTTGAGCCAGACATCCTGGAGAGTGAAGTCAAATGGGCCTTAGAAAGCACTGCTAATAACAAGGCCAGTGGAAGTGATGATATTCCAGCTGAACTATTTAAAATTTTAAAAGATGATGCTGTTAAGGTGCTACACTCAATATGCCAGCAAATTTGGAAAACTCAGCAGTGGCCAGTGGATTGGAGAAGATCAGTCTACATCCCAATCCCAAAGAAGGGCAGTGCCAAAGAATGCTCCAACAATCGCAATCATTTCACACGCTAGCAAGGTTATCCTTAAAATTCTACAAGGTAGGCTCAAGCAGTATGTGGACCGAGAACTCCCAGAAGTGCAAGCTGGATTTAGAAGAGGCAGAGGAACCAGAGACCAAATTGCAAACATGTGCTGGATTATGGAGAAAGATAGAGAGTTCCAGAAAGACATCTACTTCTGCTTCATTGACTATGCAAAAGCCTTTGTGTCGACCACAGCAAACTGTGGCAAGTTCTTAAAGAAATGGGAGTGCCTGATCACCTCATCTGTCTCCTGAGAAATCTCTATGTGGGACAAGAAGCTACAGTTAGAACTGGATATGGAACAACTGATTGGTTCAAAATTGGGAAAGGAGTACGACAAGGCTGTATATTGTCTCCCTGCTTACTTAATTTATATGCAGAATTCATCATGTGAAAGGCTGGGCTGGATGAATCCCAAGCCGGAATTAAGATTGCCGGAAGAAATATCAACAACCTCAGATATGCAGATGACACAACCTTAATGGCAGAAAGTGAGGAGGAATTAAAGAACCTTTTAATGAGGGTGAAAGAGGAGAGCGCAAAATATTGTCTGAAGCTCAACATCAAAAAAAAGATCGTGGCCACTGTGGTCCCATCACCTCCTGGCAAATAGAAGGGGAAGAAATGGAGGCAGTGAGAGATTTTACTTTCTTGGGTTCCATGATCACTTCAGTGCTCACTGGAAGGACAGATCGTGAAGCTGAGGCTCCAATACTTTGGCCACCTCATGAGAAGAGAAGACTCTCTGGAAAAGACCCTGATGTTGGGAAAGATGGAGGGCACAAGGAGAAGGGGACAACAGAGGACGAGATGGTGGGACAGTGTTCTCGAAGCTACCAGCATGAGTTTGACCAAACTGCTGGAGGCAGTGGAAGACAGGAGTGCCTGGCGTGCTCTGGTCCAGGGGGTCACAAAGAGGCGGACACGACTAAACGTCTAAACAACAACAACAATTTTAGAATCATAGAATCATAGAGTTGGAATAGACCACAAGGGCCATCGAGTCCAACCCCCTGCCAAGCAGGAAACACCATCAGAGCACTCCTGACATATGGTTGTCAAGCCTCTGCTTAAACACCTCTTATAAAGACCTTTTATTTTATTTATTTTTACAGGTGTTTTTGCTATAGTCTCAACTTCACTTTAGACAGTACCATAAATAATTTCTGGGTATAAGAAAGCTTCCCTGTATGAGACTCCTGCATATTCCTGCACTGCGGGGGGGGGGGGTTGGACTGGATGATCTGAGAGTCCCTTCCAGTTCTATACTTCTATGATTCTAAGCATTTCTTTCCCGGCTGTTTAAGAAACTCTGTTCTCATAAGGAGCTAGTGGAATGGTAGGACCACAAGGTGGCACAACAGTTTCAGCTTGCTTGTGATAGAGATAAAAGCATATCTAAAAATTAATTCTATCCTAAGGAATCCGTAATAGCAATATTTCCAGTAGCATTTAGAAATCCATGTGTGACTTTTCTCTCACCTGTACCTTGATTTATTTAACATTCATTAGTACAGTAAATAGGACACAGGTGGCACTGTGATCTAAACCACAGAGCCTAGGGCTTGCCGATCGGAAGGTCAGCAGTTCGAATCCCCATGACAGGTGAGTTCCCATTGCTCAGTCCCAGCTCCTGCCCACCTAGCAGTTCGAAAGCACGTCAAAGTGCAACTAGATAAATAGATACTGCTCCAGCAGTAAGGTAAACGGCATTTCCATGCGTGTGTTGCTCTGGTTTCACCACAAGCAGCTTAGTCATGCTGGTCACATGACCCGGAAAAACTGTCTGCGGACAAATGCCACCTCCTTCGGCCAGTAAAGCAAGATGAGAACCGCAACCCCAGAATTGTTCGCGACTGGACTTAACTGTCAAGGGTCCTTTACCTTTACCTTTTAGTACAGCAAATACTTTTTCTCATGTGTGTGATATATAACGAAAAACTACAATGAGCATTTGGTTAATTATCTCTAAAAACTTAATGGTTATAGTGTTTCTATAAACGTGGCACAGACAAACGCCATATGCTATGAAATGATGTCAAATGCTTGTGTGGTTTGCACATTTTTAAAATTAGAAGTAATGTGTTGATGGGTTAGGTCTATTTACAGTACAACATATGGTATCTAGCATGATACTGGTAATACAGTAACAGCTGTTTGGGAATGTATTATATGATATAGCTGTCAGGAAAAGCATGCTGGAATGCTGCTTTTGCTATGAAATAACGTAAAATCTAGAAAGCTTTCAGTTGACATTGAAGTAGTTTACCATTTTGTTTATTTTATAAAGACATTTCCAAGCTACTGTTTGGCCCTAAAAAGGACTTAAGTAACAGCTCAAGGTAAAATCAATTTAAGGACAGTAAAACCCAGAACAAGATAAAACAGTCAAAGCGTAGTCGACGAGGGAGACCGTGTTCAGTCATACTAAACACTTGGTGTAGTCTAAACAAAGTCTGAGCTTAAAAGGAAGGCAGGCAGCCAAGCCAAATTTAACCATGTAAGATTGTATAAGGATAATAAGTGTGGGGATTTAATATCTGAATTACTCTTAATTATAATCTCAGGAGCCTTTCTTTTTTAGAGTGGTGCAGGTTCAGTCAAGAACTGTGGAAGCAGGGCCCATGCTTTTCAAAACTTAATTGCATTGCACATTTGGGGACACATTCTTGAGGCAACCTCCTAGGACTCAGTTCACCAGCTGCAGTCCTGTCTGCTGCCCCTTCCTCTTCCTAGCTGGAGTTGAGGCCTTCAGAGCTCGTGCCTGTCAACACCTGACACAGGAAAGGAAAGGACAACAGACAGGGCAGAGAGTAAAGTCCAAAAGGCCATGTACCTAACAGGGTTAGACCATTTGCTGTGAATTTCCAAATTTCTAAAATGTTAACACTTGGAACTAAGAAAATGAACCATGAAAACATTGCAGTTGGTCTCCCAAATAACATGGTGAAAAACACAAAGGAATGCCAATCGAATGCTCCTGGGAGCTTAATGAATAGAAAATCCCTTAGACAATGCTGTAAAATATAGACATGCAGCCTGAAAGAAATCCCTGCCTTTCTGAATAAGAACATTCCAGAGATAAAATTTGGTGACTGGACACTTCATCAAAAGTATAAAGCTGTAGGTTTGCGACACGCACACTCGTTGGAAATCCCCTACACCCGGTCTGAGGCCCAAGGGCCACTCTTCAGGTTTCTCTCTGTGGCCCTTGGGACTTTTCCCAGGCCACCCCACCCTCCCTGCTCAGCCACACTGCCTTTTCCCAAGCCACAGCCTTGAGTGTTTTGGCCTGGCTAACATGTCCTAATGTCTCTTGGCTGCCAGGATGGAGGGTGGGGTGTATAGAAACGAGCCTGGTGTACAAAGGCTGAAATACCTTCGTTTCTTTGCCAGTTTCTGTCTTTGGCCCACTTCCCATAGGAATACGATCCCTGAAAGAGGGTCCCATTGGGGAAACTGCCATCTGAAAAAGGTGCCATATTCCTGCGCTTCTGTTTTTGTTTTGTTTTTAAGTCATTAAAATTCACCTAGACACAGTTTTCCACCTCCGAATTACTTGTTTCAGTCCATTACCTTGTGGACTGGATTCCTAAACAGAAACTGGAAACAAATAATGTGACTCAAGTTGGTTTCTAGAGAAAAACCAGGCAATCCATTTGCAGTATCATTTGGTCATCCTGTGGAACGTTATGTTATTCATACTCATATACCGGTATATAGAGAGGGGAGGAGATATAGATACCCCCCCCCAATCCTTATTCTTGAGGGTATGGCTTTACCGCACAGAAAAATGTAGAAATGCAAAATTCAGTTTGGATGAGAAGTAATAATAGTTTATTTGCACTTATTTGAAAAAATAGGTTATTTAATAATTTTTGCTCTCATGTTTTAGTTGTGAAATCCTAATCAATTATTACTTGCCAGACCCTGAGATTTCTGCTTATATAAATATATTGCAAGTTCTTACAGATAGCTTGTTTTGTTTTGTTTTCTCTCCCCGCTCCCAATTTATTCTGTAGACTGGAGTATTAACAGTTAAATTGGGTGGAAGCATGGGAACATATGTGATCAACAAACAGACACCAAACAAACAGATATGGCTGTCCTCTCCAAGCAGGTAAGCAAATGTCTGTTTGTTAGAATGTTCTGGAAATTTTACAATTGAACTAAAATATCTCCTACCTCAGCTTTATTAGTTGCATGCACTTTGGAGACTCAGAATGGCTTGTACGGATTTCCCAGGCAGTCAATATCAGGTGCTAGTCAGGCTGACAACTGCTTCGGTGATACAGTATGTGATTATTTTCCCCCACAGCCCCTGGAACTATTTGTATGTCTTTCTCTATTTTGCAGTGCTAGTCATTGAACTTAGGCTTTTGGTCAGTGAGTGACACCCTCTGATGCACCGTCCATTGGGAGCACTGATCCTGCACTGCGTCTCTGGAATGCTGAGCTGACAGATACCATATTGTTGTGCAGTGAAGAGCAGACAATGTTTTAAACGAATAAATAAAATATTAAAACATACCTAAGCCAGTGTTAGGATATGGAAAATTAGAGTATTTACTTTCTAGTATGTTACAGAAAACGACAACACAATTTTCTGACTGCTGTTTAATTAAGTGAGGCTAATTCAGGTGGGCCATCATGAGGATTGGACCATCAGGAATGAATGAAACCTAAAGCAAGTGTCCCGTTTTAGCACAGAGCTCCTGTGGTGGCTGTGGGGTGTCAGGAGAAGCAGGGAAGGCACCAAGGCTTTTTGGACCAGCAGAATAGCTAACACTACTGCGGTCAGGAGCTGTCAGGGGGCTGAATTTTTTCATCTCTAGCTGGTGCCACAGTCAGGACTGCCCCAGAAATTTAGCAGCATGTATATTAAAGTTTTGAAGCCAACTCCAATTGATTTTTCTTTGCCCTAATTCACCTCATGCCAACCAGTTGGCTTTCAATCACACCATAGCTCATATTGTGTGATAAAGGTAAAGGTACCCCTGCCCGTACGGGCCAGTCTTGACAGACTCTGGGGTTGTGCGCCCATCTCACTCAAGAGGCCGGGGGCCAGCGCTGTCCGCAGACACTTCTGGGTCACGTGGCTAGCGTGACAAAGCTGCATCTGGCGAGCCAGAGCCGCACACGGAAACGCCGTTTACCTTCCCGCTAGTAAGCGGTCCCTATTTATCTACTTGCACCCGGGAGTGCTTTCGAACTGCTAGGTTGGCAGGCGCTGGGACCGAGCAACGGGAGCGCACCCCGCCGCGGGGATTCGAACCGCCGACCTTTCGATCGGCAAGCCCTAGGCGCTGAGGCTTTTACCCACAGCGCCACCCGCGTCCCTCATATTGTGTGATAACTTAATGCAAATAGCTGTGGGAGTTCCAAGTACCCATTTCCAGCATGCACACCCTTCCTTTTGTCATATTTGGTTGATATTTAAATGTTGTTGTTAATTGAATTTATATACTGCCCTATACCAGGAGGTCTCAGGGCAGTTCACACAACAAAATCATAATACAAAAATCACAATATATATAATCAAAATAAAAACAACAACCCAATAGCACCCCCCCCAAAAAAAGGGCATAGGATGTCATGTTCTCAGTCATGTTCTTGTTTGTTCTTTCACAGTGGCCCGAAGCGTTATGACTGGACTGGAAAAAACTGGGTTTATTCTCATGATGGAATCTCTCTTCATGAACTACTTGCAATGGAATTTTCTGTTGCATTAGAAACTAAATTAGACTTATCAGCTCTAGCACATGCTGGAAGAAAACATTCTTGATAATATCTATCGCAAAGAATTCAAAGACTTTGAACTTTGACACATAGTCTTCCCCTTTTTTGTAAATGTGTTAATCCAATTTTAAATTCTGCAGGATGTCTGTAAACTCACTTTTACTCTGCAACAATGTGAAAACAATTCCCACCCCGCTGCTGCCTGGTTTCTTAATGTGTTCAGGTATTTTCCATCCTCGTTTGGATTGCAGACACAGTCATTGCTGCCCAGCCTTTTAGCTAGAATTAAGGAGGGCATTTGGATGTCCTATTGAAGACAACTATTGTACTAAGCTCTCTCTTGGCTGCATTCAGGTCTTTTTCTAAACTGCATTATTCTCCATAACTAAAGATTTAAACCACATTGATAATGCTGAAAACCATTTCTGCAAAATGGTAGTATACTTGTAGGATTGCGATATTTATATTAGGCTTGCCAGCCCAGTGGAATACCTGTAAGAGTAGAATACCTGTTCTTTTTTCTTTTCTTTTTTTGTCAATAATTTTTAGTAGTTTTCAATTACAAAACTCCAAAGCAAACCTCATGATATGCATATCAAATCGTAAACACAATCAAATAACAAAATATATAATTTGGATGGCCTCCCACTTGCTGGATTACAGGTTCAGTAATTCTTTTTTTTTCCTGCTTCCAAAGTCTTACTTATTTCAGTTGTATTCCAATCTTAATCATAGTCCCTTGTTCAACAGCTGCAGTTTGTGACTTCCATTCGTATTAACATTCAGTAATTTATTAATCCACAAGTGAATATCTATATCCCTTCGTCCTGCGTGCAATAATTATTTGTTCATTTTTTTTCTTCCCAAAAAGTTCTGTGTTGATCCAGTCATTCTCTCAATTATGATTACAATATATGTGCTTCAGCCTGGGGAAAGAGTTAACTGGAACCCCGCCAGAGCTCTAATGGGTCTCCAATTTCCCTTTCTTTGTCCATACAGATAAAGATGGCGCCCTGCCAAAGTGCATCTTGGTGCATCTCCAAAATCCAATTTCTCTTACATTCCAAGATAACAACCTTCTCTTCTTCTCACCAAATACTGTATTGGCCTGAATATAAGCCTCACTTCCCCCCCAAATTCCGACCGTAAAAAGTAAAAGTGTGGCTTATATTCGCAACCTTACAGTATGCAGCCACGAGTGTGGGGCAAACAGCGTCAGGAAAGCAGTGCCCGCCCTGTGTGTAATCTCCATCCGCACTGACCCCTCTTGCTCTCCTGGCTTCAGCGAAAGCAACGCGAAGCCTCCGGAGCGCAGCGGGGCAGCTTGGATTTTCAGAAGACATTTGGCAGCTCTGGCTAGTAACAACTCTCAGTCTGAAAATGGAACTATGCTTCTGACTATTTTTACAGATTATGAACTATGCCAATTCTGCTGTTCTTTAGAATGGTCTCTCCAAGCATGCAAAAATAAAACAAGAGGTAAGAAAAAGGAAGAACCAATGAGAATAGTTTTTAAAAATAAACTTTTGATGGACAGGTCTGGCCTTTAATCACTGAATTATTTTCTTGGAGCACTCCAACCACAGAAATTTGGAGGGGTTATAAACTATTTTTCACATGAATCTGTTCTCTTCCCCTGTGCAAGTCAATGGAGATCTCCATTCTACCTCCCAAAATGCTGAAGCTCACATCCCCAAGTGACTCTTGGAATAAGAGGGCCCTTAGCACAGGGTGTGTGTTGTGTGGGTGACATTTAGCCAATCTTTCCTGGGGCTCAATGGTATTTTCCCCACCACCCTCTTTCTCCTTTGCAAGGCTTGTGGAGACCTCTCCCAGGAGATGAGGCTGTATCACCCAAACTACATTGGTGAAAGAAGCCTCTCCCCCCCCCAAACGCTTGGGTTGAAAAGGTAATTGCTAGAGAGTGATATTTTCCTCACCACATTGTTTCCTGGGGATCCATGCTCTTCCCCCCTCCCCCCCCCACCATTCCTATTGTATCCCTTACACTGGCAAAGCCCTCCCCTGTGGGAGATACTGCAGTTATGAGTCTGACATTTGGTACACTTCATCCCCTCAGAAGGAGGGCTATGCCTGCAAATAGCATCCAATTCTGACAAAATGGGAAGTTAAAAGACTTGTCATTTGTATAACAAGCAAACTTTAAAGCTGCCCTGCACAAAAAATCTGGGTGTATCTGCCTTCAACCATTTGATACGCTAAATTTATGAGGGAAGTGGCTATGATTGCAAATTTCATTCACTTCTGTAACAAGAAAAAAGTTAAAGCCATTTTTAGATTCCCCATTATAGTGAAATGGATAAAAATGACCTTAATTTTTAATAGCTCTAATTTTTGTCCCAAATAACAAGTAGAAATGCCTGTCCCTGTTGTGTGGAAGAGCATTTATGTTGAGATAAGCAAGGTGCCCACAATCTGCACTTTCCAGAAGCAATCAAAAGCATTTTTGTTACAACAACTAGAAAAATTGGTCTCTACTAGGACTTTAGTCTTGTTTAACATACATTTGGTGTTTTCATGTTTTTAACTTTTTAACTGTAAATCGCCTTGAGACTGATCATTAATAAGCAGTAGTAAGCTTACCAAAACTACAGCTATGAGTCAAATCTTGTGGCCACAAGACTATCACTGGACTATCACTGGTTGTCAGTGATTCAAGCTGGAACTCTGACTTGCACCATCCAGGTCTTATATTCACTACAGTGGTACTTCGGGTTACATGCGCTTCAGGTTACAGACTCCGCTAACCCAGAAATATTACCTCGGGTTAAGAACTTTGCTTCAGGATGAGAACAGAAATTGTGCTCCGGCGGCAGCAGGAGGCCCCATTAGCTAAAGTGGTGCTTCAGGTTAAGAACGGACCTCCAGAACGAATTAAGTTCTTAACCCGAGGTACCACTGTAGTTGTTTTGTTGCTTCAAACAGAACTCGCTGCTCTCAAATTGGAAAATGTTCTAATTGTGACTAATGCATATATGTAATAGGTAACCTCAGTAGAGGTTATTGTGCCAAACCTTGAGCAAACACAATAAGAGGAGGTCTCTCAAGGAAATTATGCTCTTGCTGAGCCAGGGAGAGGAAGAGAAAAAAATCGTAAGGCAGAAACATTAAACCATTTGGCCAATGTTACAGAAAAAGGTCTGTGGCAGTCAGTGCCACCTCGGTTGCACAATGTTATTCAGGCATTTGGAATGAACATCAAGAAGAAATGTCAGGATAGTATTCAAGAGCCCAAAGGTACACACACTCTCTGGGTGAGATCCGTACTCTGGAAAAATGGAGGACAGGGATTGTGCGTAGGGAGTTAGTTTATGATCAGTGTGTGGGGAAACTCCCCCCCCCTTCAGCTGTGCCTTAGGGCTCCTATATAGTTTCTAAGCTTAGACTCTTTGGAGGCTTCCATGTCTTGAATAAATAATTACACATGATGACTTGTTCAAAATTTATTCTGCCCCATTGATCTTGTTTAGCAGCTCAGCTATACAGCTCCAAATAAATCGTTTTGTGTTTAAGTGTGATATGCAATGTGACACTAGATGACGATGGTGAGCCTTATGGAAAATTCAATGTATTTTAAAAGCATTTTCAAAATGATTTTTATGTGTGGGGATTCCACCTAGCTGCATCTGGCCAGCCAGAGCCGCACACGGAAACACTTTTTTCTGGGCGGGGGGGGGGGACACAGGGGTACGCATACCCCTAAATGTTTTGTGAATCTAAGTTTGCCCTCATTGAGGGGCAGTATTTCAATATGAGTAGGAAAATAAGAGTACCCCTTTTTAAGAAAAGCACTGCCATCTAGGTCAGTGTTTCCCAACCTTTTTTGGGCAAAGGCACACTTGTTTGATGAAAAAAATATCGAGGCACACCACCATTACAGCCCCGTGACGTCAGCGCGCAGCGTCGCGCCGGGAGGGACGCACGAAAGTGTAAGTTTCAATTTTTTTCCCTCCCCTCCTGTGTAAAGGGGAATGCACTCTGCTAAGTAAAGGCACTTGCCACAGCAGCGTCAACGTCACAGCACCCACCGGCACCCAAGAGAGAAGGGGTCTCAGCAGCCCTTTTGCCAGGAAGAGGAGCAAGAACGAGAGGAGGAGGAGGAAGAGGAAGAGAGTCCCCCCCCAAAAAACATTCTCCTTTTGATCTTCCTTATTTGCAATTTCTCATTGCAAAACAGCGGTTGATATAGAGCTGATTTTTTTGTTATTACAGTCCCCACCCCCTCACCTAGAAAAACACCCCCTGTCAATTTTATTATTATCATTATTATTATTATTATTATTCCCCGCCACTCTGGGAGGCTGAAGCCCTTTAAGGCTTCCTTCTGTCCACTCTCTGTGAATTACCTGCCCGGAGCGGGTTTCTGGGGGGGGCGCTGCTGCCGGTGTCCTCCCCGTCGAGTCTCGCCTTGCCCGGCGCGTGGCGGCCGCCCTTTCCCACACAATGCCGGCTGCGCTGCCAAGCCCCGCGGCTCGGCCTGTCAGCGTTACCGGGCTCGGCGGGCGGTAATTCCCGAAGAAAGCCGGCGGCGCTTGAAGAGCTGGCAAGCCTCCATTTGCATGTCTGTTTTCCGCAGCCCTTGGAGAGGATTAAGTTCCCTCCTTCCTGCCGGGGAACCTCCAAGCTTTGGGGGTGGGGGGGGAGGAGGCAGCAAAGCGAGGCAGGAAGGAGCGCGGCTTGGCTGGGTGAGCTTTGGCAGGGGCAGGGAATGAGAGCCGCGAGGCGGGCGCTGCGGGCGGAAGCGCTGCCCACCGAGCTCGCAGGCAGCCAGACGGCGAGAGCCCCGCGCTGGGCGGCCTCTCCTCGCCGCCTCTCGCCGCCCGACTCGCCCGCCTCCCTCCCACGGAGGTAGGCTGGTGTGCCGTGGGAGGGAGGCGGGCGAGTCGGGCGGCGAGCACACGCGGGGCGGCGAGCGAGCTCCCTCCCACATCCCATCGCCGCTCGCTTCGGCCGGCCTACTGGGCTGTCGCAGGCGGAAGTCCTGCGCATGCGTGAGGTTTTCGCGCCTTCCTCCAGTAGGCCGGCCGAAGCGAGCGGCGATGGGATGTGGGAGGGAGCTCGCTCGCCGCCCCGCGTGTGCTCGCCGCCGCCGCCCCGCCTCTCGCCGCCCAACTCGCCCGCCTCCCTCCCACGGAACACAAGGCAACGTTCCGCAGCACACTAGTGTGCCGCGGAACACCGGTTGGGAAACACTGATCTAGGTTCCCTTCCCAGGGTGTAGTTTTGTGTTTGCTTCGATTCCCACTGCGTGGAACGGTTATGTACAGAGTGAGCCAGCCACTTCCAGAAGCAGAGACCATGAGTATGTAGAATTATGCAAGAACACCGGAATAGCGCTGTCGGACCAGGCCCGCCCCCTGTTCTCGCAGGAGCCAGCCGCGGAAACTCCGCCGACAGCAGCTGGAATTGGGAAGCCGACGGACTCCCGCTGCGGCGGAGCTTCGCCCTCGTGACTACGAGTCACTTGGTCTGGTCCTCCGTGAATCGATCCAATCCACGTTGGCTTGAAAAAGAGGATGGGGCTGTCTCTCGTGGGAGGGAGTTCCGCGGTTTAACTGCGCCGCATGAAGCAGTCCTTTCTTCATCTGTCCTGAGTCTCCGCCATTCCGCTTCCTCGGAGGTCCAGGCAGAGTCGCAGAAACTCCAGCCCCGTTTCCCAGGCTCAGCGCCCAGAAGCGCGTGGCCCCTCCGAGCCGAGGGTCCGTTTCCACGCGGGGAGGACATTCGCTCCGAGACTCCTCCGAGGGGCGGATCGGGGCGCGGGGCCGGGGGTGGGCGAGGGGAGCCTCGGGGGCCGTCGAACTCGACGCTGCCAGCTTCCAAGTCTCTCCGCTGAACTCCCAGCCCGCCGGCCCGGCCCCACGGCCGTGTTTTCTGAGGCGGGGCGCGGCTCTCCTCGCGCCTCCCTCCTCGCGGCGCTCACCTGCCCGCCCGCCCGCCCCCTCGGAACAGGAAATCGCCGGAGCCGCGAGGAGCAGAGCGAAGGGCGCGCCTGGCCGAGTCGGGATCCGGGCGGGGGCGAGGGTCTCGGCGTCGCTGCTCCAGGTACGTCGGGGCTGGCGCTCTTTCGGCGCCGCTTCCCGGGCTGCGCTCGGCCTCCCTCCGCTCCTGGCAGCGGGGCGCCGCAGCCGAAGGCGCAGCTCGGAGCTGCTTCCCACTGGGACAACTTCGTGGTCGGGCAGCGGGAGGCTTCCAAGGGCTCCCCTCGGAGGGGCTGGGACGGGAAGCCAGAGGGTGCCCTTGGCGCCCCGCGGCGCCTTCCTGTCCCCTTTCCCTCCGGAATGCGGGACTCGAGCCGGTTCGTCCGGTTTCCTGGCTGGCGGCGGCTTCCCGGCAGCAGGGGGCGCCCGCTCCTCTTTCCCGCCCTCTCCTGCGGGGGTCGGGCTGGAGTGCCCAGGACTTCCCGGGCCCAATCCGTCTTGGCCCAGGCCGACCCCTTGGCGCCGCAGGTTTCCCCAGCGGGGCGGGCGGGGCGCTTCCAAGGGGTTTGCAGGTATTCGAATTGAAAGCTGATACTGTACATTAACAT